TAAAGAAATAAAAGGCATCCAAGTAGAAGAGAGAAAGTTAAACTATCCCTGTTTGCAGATGACAAAATCCTGTATTTAGAAAACCCCATATCTCTGCAGAAAAGCTCCTTGATCTTATAAACAACTTCAGCAAAGTTTCGGGATACAAAATCAATATACAAAAATCAGTACACGTTCTTATAAACCAACAACATCTAAGCTGGGAATCAAAACAGAAATGCAATTTCATTCACAATTGCCACAAAAATTTACAAAAAGATTTATTGTACTCATCAATGTTGGAAATCACCATACTACATTTTTTTTTTTTTTTATAGAGCAGGCTATTTGTGGAACGAGAGGCTTTTATCAGGATGTGTTTTGTATGTTGTGTCTTATGTGACAGGCACTGTGTACGTCACTTTGGATCCTTTTTTTAATAATCAGGATGTATGTTTTGTATGTTGTGTCTTATGTGACAGGTACTGTGTACGTCACTTTGGATCCTTTTTTTTATAATCTTCAAATCAAAGTAATAAGGCAATCATCCCATTTTTTTAGATGACAAAACTGATAGTATCTTCTCAAAAGTGGATAGTCTGCATAGGAAAACTTCAGTCACCAGAGAACCTCTAACTCTGAACCATCCTCAGATGTCACAGAAAACATCACAAAACCTATCTGGTAGTTCCTTAACCAAAGCACCAGCTTCCTGTTGCCATTCTCTGTGCCTCCCTTTATTATAATTGAAGGGCTAATCAGTATTTTGACAGGGCATTTTAACCAATCTCTGACTAAATAGTTTATTTTACTGTATTTCTCATTCATTTATTAAGCATATAATCAGAGATGCTACTAGATTCTAAGATTGTTATGATTTACAAGGAATATATTGATAAAATCATTCCTGACCAGTGGAGGAGAGGAGAGTACACAAAAATGAAGACAGAAATACAAGAGCGTGTTCCTCTCTGACATTTCATTGTTCATTCACAGCTTTCCCCATTGCTTCAGAACCATAATTCAGTTTACTTTCAACATTCTTACTCTTTCCTACATGTGTTGTTGCATATATGGTACTCTCTTTGTCTGGAATCTTTTTTTCTCTTGTACCTTCACTGGGCCAGCCTAAAACTGTCCTCAAGCAAGACCTCCTGATAACCCCCTCCAAAAATAAAACAGATCATCTTTGTGTCCTTCACAGGTCCATTTATTTCCTTTATAATACTTGTCACAACAGTAATGACAGTATATTTTCAAACCTATAAGTAAGCTGAGATTATACATACTACCTGCACAGGAAAGAAAAAACAAGGGTGCATGAATGAGTTGAGATCCGTGTATATCAAATCCTATTCCACACTGCATTTTATTTACCAATAAGTTGGACTGTGTAGTCACATGCCTCTGTGCCACATAATCCTCTATCAGCAGCGAATGAGAAGCTAACTTACAGAAAGAAAAGGGAAGTATTAAGTCATTATTCTCTTATTTACTTTTTCACCCAAGCCCCAAGATGCACAATGACCCAGTCATAGAGGTGACTCCCCCACACCTGTGAGTTGAAGACAGACCTACTCTTTACAGGAATTCTCCATAGGTGATTAGATTTTTATTATTTTGTTATTATTACCCAAAGCTCATATTTTCCTGAAGAGTGTCTACAGATTTTACCTGGTGGATCAGTAAACAGGCAGTGTGTTTTTGTCATCTTGGCAGAAGTGGCCTCGAATAGACCCCATGCCTAATCATTGCCAGCTCAGATCTGTTTTCTCTTTTACTGTAATGCTGGTTTCTATGTATGCTGAAATGTAGGTTAAGAAACTAAATGTATGCCAGCATCCAAACAGATGAGCAGAGGGGGGATTCTATAAAAAGGGATTTTGAGAAACATACACACACACATACACTCACACACATACATATGTATTACATCCAACTTACATAGAAAAATATTAAGCAGAAAAGAAATTTCTTTCTGTCATAAAGTGGAAGACTAAATTACCCAAATTTATGACTCCAAAAGGTTGAAGCCCACCTACGAGCACAGTTATTGTCTGAGATCCATAGAACCAACCCACCAACTGTGGCCGGTCCTGTTTCTTCTGATACTCCACCAACCCCATCCAGCGGTTCCTTAAATAAGGTACCGCCTTTCTGTTTCCATTCCTGTACCTCTAAAACATAATTGTAATGGTAATCAGAGTCTTCAAAAAGATTCTCATTTAATCTCTGACTATATATTATTATTTTATTACATTTCTCATTCATTTATCAATATATAATTGGACACACCACTGGATTCTAAAGTCCTTCAATATCACAAAATATGCATTTATGAAATCATTTCTATCTTCAAGAAGATTATTGTTTTTCATTAGTGCAAATGTAGTGTATGTGGGGAAGTATCCAGACAAAGAGCGATGAATACAACAGTATGTTTGTACCTTCCATTCTAATTTCCTTTCACAATTTTCCATTATGACAAATGACCATACCTACGGTTGATATTTAAAATCACTATGCCTTTCCATAGCTGATGTTTTGACATAAGCTACCTCCTTTGTTTAGAATCCTTGACTCTCATCTCTTCATTTGCCCCAATATATTTCTGGGTCAGCCAAGATCCCCCTTCCTCAGAAAAAACTTCACTGATGTCCTCCTTCTACTATAGAACACATCAGGCCAAGGTGTCCTGAACATGTCTCTTTATTTTATTTAGAACATTTATTAAAATTCTAATAATAGAGTGTTCTTTAAGCATACTTGATAATAAGTTCAGATTATAGATTTCTTGTCCAGGAGAACATCAGACAAAGGTGAACTAATGAATTTATATCTGAGTGTTACAATTAAATCCAAGCCTGTTTTTGGCCATGATAGGACCAGTGGAGTCACCTCCACCTACAGAACAGAAGACTGTGATCTACAGTGAGAGGGAAGGTAACTAAAGAGAAAGGCAAGAGGAGAATCATGTCACTACTCTTTTAGTTGAAGACGTGTAACCACACAGACTAATTGAAGACAGATTACCTGTATACAGGGGTTCTCAATTTGTGGTAGTTTTTTGGTTTGTTTATGTTTTTGTTGTTTTTGATAAGCCCAAGAATTCCATTTTCCTCAATAAAGTCTACATATTTAAATGAGAGTCAGAGCTAACTAGCATGTCCTCCTTAGCCATCTTGGCTTAGGTGACCATGGATGGAACTCGTGTGTAGTCATTACCAGCTCAGATCCACTTTTCTGTCACTTCATAGACATAATTGGACATCCCAGGACAACATTTTGGGAAATAATTTATTTCTCCTGCATTCTGGCTTCGAAGGGACTACATAAAGTTTTCTTAGGCTCTACCATTTTAAATAGGCATCAATGTCTGTTCCTATAGCAATTAGATTTATTTGACTGCATCTAAACCTCCCTTAGCCCAGGAATCCCAGGTAGGGTCCTATGTCTGCTATACCTAACCACTCATCTAGCCATTTCTTCTTTGATATCTAGAACTTCCACAGGAGGCCTAGAAAATATGTCTGATTACTTCCTCTGTGATTCACTAGCTCTGAAAGACAACCTTGCTTTTATATATCTTAGGTCATCCCTAAGTGATTGTTTATATTTAATAATATGGTTGCTCTATGCTTTAGGATTTAAAGCCAAAAGCAGACTATTCTTATTTTTCATCTTTTGTCATGACTCTCCTAAATCAAAGAGCACAGAATGGTTGAAAAAACAAATAGAGATATTACTGGCTTAGAATTACTACCTGGGAAAAAAAGAAGTTTATTAGTTTTATTCCAATCACTACAACTTTATCTGGGTTTTCCACAAGAGGGTCAACATAAATCACGATACATTGCTGAATCAGGCAGACACATAAACCTTGCATAGTATTTTAAATAACAATGAAAATAATGATATTTTTCTAACTGAGCATCTACTAGGTAAAAGGTAGAAGTAAAGGCTATGATTTTATGTACATGATTGCATTTATTCTTCAATACAGCTCTATGAGCACAGTAGGAAGATCACACTCAAGGGAAAAAATGTGTTCTGCTTTTTTAGACAAGTTAAATTTGAGATTCCAACAGGACATCTAAGAATTATCCATCTGATACTATAGAGCTTTAACTTGGACAATTTTCGCTGGGCCTTTTACTGAATTACATCAGTATAGACATAGTTGCTAAAACAGTGGATGTAGCTGAGAGTATCTGATAGAATAGAAATAATAATGCCACTCATTTACTGAGTACACAGAATGATTCAGGATCTTCTAAGGGTTTTTTCAATAAGTATCTTCATTAATCTTTTACGATCCGATTGTTTCATGTATTAACTCATTTAATTCTTTGTGGTACACAATGAGCAGAAGAAAGAGTTAAATTTGAGGATGGTCAACATGGCTCATAACAGTCCTATATTACCAAGGATGTCCCTAACCAAATCAGAACACAGAGATACCCTCTTTCATGAGATACATATACTGGTCAACACAGAGATGGTTGGATCTACATGACAAAGTTCATGCTCTTTGTCACATATATTCATGTGGGATTCTTGGAACAAATAAAGGCTAATATTGGAACGCAAAAAGATCAAAACAAAGGTTAACACATTCAGACACACAGAAATGCTAAGGCTTTCCAATTGCTCCAGTTCTCAGAGCCATTAGTCAAAAGTCCCAAGCCTTCCTTGACAGCAGTTGCACCAAAAATACCTTTTGTAACTTCCTCCTACCTTTCTGTCCAGTGAGAACTTTCCCCTTAGCCCTTGTCATTGGACACACCAGCTCCTTTCTCTCTCCTGCTGCTCCCTGACATCGCCTGCCCTTTCACTTAGGCTCATGTTGGGTAGGAGTGAATATCACATGTCATGGTCCCAATAGAGGGAAAGATGTGACTCAAAGGACAGGAATTCATTAAAGGATAAAGGTGAGAATGAGAAAAGAGTCCTTCCTACGGAAATAGAAGAGATGTGACCCACAGGGAGGAGAGACAGTGTGACCGAAGGGAGAAAAGTATGATCACCTGCATCTCAACTGGTTTATTTTTATCTCTTTCTGCTTCAAGGTCACCCAGGACAAGGATATCAAATAACTACTGTTCAGTCTTTATTCAAGTGTGGAAATTTTGCCTGAATTCCTCCATGTAAAAACTTGATGCCATTGATAATAATGTTTATGAAGATAAGATTGAAGCACAGAAAATAATATATGTATATATATCTGGTTGAAATACAGTATATATACCAGTTATTAATTCTAGGAAATGGAGTATTACAGGTACATTTTATTTCATTATTTTTACTGGTTTGCCTTTTCTTCATATCATAATTTACATCTGAATTTTCATGATTTGAAAAAAAAAATAAACTTTTATTTCTAAAAGAGTGCTTCCCCAGGAGTCTCTTTAATCCATCTGTGAGTTACATAAAAGCAAATAAACTGTGTCCTGCAAGTTAGGGTGGCGCACCAAGATTTATAGTTTGGATGGGATCTTTAAGGAAAAGATCCTGGTCAAGACTGAACTGCCTGTGCTTGGCACAAAGAAACCAGATGGAGGGGACAGATAGGGGTGAAATCCAGCCAATGATTCTGTTGCAAGCACTGTGTCCTGGGAAGCAGTTGCTCCAGCCCAAAACTGGAGATATTGTTTCAGAATTGGTCTCCTGGAGGGGGAATGATTGGGTAATTTGCTTGCCAAATCAGGCACCTTCTGGCGATGTGCATGAAGGCACTTGCCTATGTTAGAGGAATTCCTGGTCTAGTTTGATGCAAATTATCTGGTCGGTATGTTTCCTTCAGCACCAACAGCTCATCAGGAGCTCTCCAACCATATTTCCCCCTCTCACATTCCACTATATGAATCCATCAGAAAGTTGCCCCAGGCAGTTAACTTCGGCAAACGGAAGACTAATCAATTTATTTTAGAGTAAAATGGCAGAACGTAGGTGTCTAAAACTTACGATGTATTTGTAGATCATATATTTGGTACCTGGTACAATTATTTGGTGTCACTTAATCTTCATAGTAGCTCTAGAAGGTTGACAGTTCTCTCCTTTTTATTCTCTGTATATAAAGAAAAAAGGGCACAAAAAGGTAAATTTACTTTCCAAGTGACAGTTAGGTGGTCTTATATGCTCCTTGATTTAACATCCAGGGTTGTTATTCTGGCTTGGGTTAGGTGTGCTATTGTTAGGAGAGCAGGGATAAGATGAAAATCAAACAGTGAATAAGCCAGGATTCCACCTAAGCTGGAGAAAGCTGAAAAGAACCTCACTCTCACCCTTACAATTATGAAAAAGTTGCTGTCCTTTGGATGGGGCTCCTTTATTTCATATTCTTTGATGTCCTTGAATGTTTCACTGTGCTAAAAGGTGGGTTTAATTGATCAGCTTTATTTCTAAATAATTTCATGGTGCCAAGGATCAGCTCAGCACTGTTAGGCTATATGCTCTACCCCTGGGGGGTCTGAAACTAGGCCCACATCTCTTTTTCCTGGCCACTTGAGGTGAAAGACCTGCTGTGCTGAAGGGACTGAGATATTCTCAGTCCATTGACGACAACATTTATGTGAGGGCATGCTGGCAAAAATGCTTTGGTGGGACAGCAATGGTGGGTCAGTGTAGCCAAGGCCATGCTGCAAGTGGGTGGACAGGCCAGCAGAGGAGGGGCACGCTAATCTAACAGGCCCCACCCTACGAGCAGATAGTTCCTTTTTATCCAGGTCCAGCAGCCAACAAAGGCTAAAGCCATCTAGAGGAGTATGGCAAGCCTTCAGGGACGGGCATCCACGTCCATGCTCCACTGAAGCCATTCCTGCGTCAAACCCTGTCTGTGCATTCTGGAGTTCTGTCTCTGCCAACTCTCCTGGCATTTCTCCCAGCCAGCTCAGATGTCTGTGGGAGTTGTGGGATCTCCTCCGGCTAGAATTCTGGAAGTCCATGATGAGAGTGGGCCTCTCTATACCTATTTCACTCAACCCTTTCCCACATTTTTAATTTTTTTTTTTTTTTTTTTTGAGACGGAGTTTTGCTCTTGTTACCCAGGCTGGAGTGCAATGGCGCGATCTCGGCTCACCGCAACCTCCGCCTCCTGGGTTCAGGCAATTCTCCTGCCCCAACCTCCTGAGTCGCTGGGATTACAGGCACGTGCCACCATGCCCAGCTAATTTTTTGTATTTTTTAGTAGAGACGGGGTTTCACCATGTTGACCAGGATGGTCTCGATCTCTTGACCTCATGATCCACCCGGCCTCCCACAGTGCTGGGATTACAGGCTTGAGCCACCGCGCCCGGCCCATTTTTAATTTTTTAAGAAACCTCAATAATGTTTTCCTTAATGATTATACCATTGTGCATTCCCATAAATAGTGTATAAGGATTACAAAGGTTTCTCTACAGCCTCACCAACATCTGTTATCTTTGTTTGTTTGTTGATAATAGACATTCTAACAGATGTGACGTGATGAAATATTGTCAGACAGTCTTCCAAAGTGGCTGCAACAATTTACATTCCCACAAGCCGTGTAGAAAAGTTCTAATTTCTCCACATACACATCAACACTTGTTATTATATAATTTGTTATTCTAGTCAGCCTAGTGGGTATACCCAATCTAGTGGGTATGAAGCGATTTGCATTTCCCTGGTGAATAATGATGTCAAGCATTTTCAAAAATACTTATTGACTGTTTGCACATCTTCCTTGGAGAAATTTCTATTCAGAGCCTTTGCCTAGTTTTTAATTAGTTTGTGTTTATTATTAAGTTGTATAGTTCTTTATATATTCTAGATACAAGTCCCTATGGAATATGTGATTTGCCAATATTTACTTTCATTCTACTGGTTGTCTTCTAATATTCTTGATAATGTTATTTGATACATAAAAGTTTTTAATTTTAATGAAGTCCAATTTATATATTTTTTGCATATGCATTTGATATCATATCTTAGAATCTATCACCAAATTCAAGGTCATGTGGATTTACACCTATGTTTTATTCTAAGAAATGTATCATTTCAGTTCTTACATTTAAGAGTTTTGATCCATCTGGGCACAGTGGCTTACGCCTGTAATCCCAACACTTTGGGAGGCCAAGGCAAGTGGATCAGGAGGTCAGAAGTTTGAGATCAGCCTGACCAACATGGCAAAACGCCATCTCTACTAAAAATACAAAAATTAGCCAAGTGTGGTAGCACACACCTGTAATCCCAGCCACTCAGGAGGCTGAGGCAGGAGAATCGCTTGGACCCAAGAGGCAGAGATTGCAGTGAGCTGAGACTGCACCACTGTACTCCAGCCTGGGCCACAGAGTGAGACGCTGTCTCAAAAAAATAAAA